CTCAACTTCCATCAACAAATAATTCATATTACCAACCTCCTATGGATCAAACACAATATATTCAACCGGGTTTTACAAGTACACCGAATTCTTATTCATCTCAACAACAATGGTATCCATCTGGACAAATTGAACAACGTGAACGTTTACCATCAAATGAGGTATGTGTAATATACTAATATAAATAGTAAATAAAAAGAATGAAAACATGTTCAAAAACACAAAAATAAAAATTTTATCTAATTCAAATAAATCTCATAGCAACAACAGTTGGGATCGGTGAGTCGTCGTTCATCGGTTATAACATTTAATCAAATTGATAATATATCACCATCAAATCGACAACAACAATCGACCATAGATAATAGAAAAGCATCTTCAACATCGACTCAATCAAATACTAGTAATCAGAGTTCAAAAAATAATTCCGATACGGCGAATTTTCTTTATCAATCACCGCAATTAAAACGTTATTCAACGGTATAAATTTATCTTTGTACCAAATATTACTTCTGTATATTTAACTAATGCTTTCTTTGTGTCACATTCTAATCGAACACATTTACTATTGGACTTGATTATTATTTTGTGTTTTTTTTTTTCGTATATTGCTTTGTATTTCTTTTAAAACAAATTATTTTGAATATATTTATATTTCTTTAATTTTATTTCTTTAGAATCAAACATCATCAATTACTGAAGAATCACAACAACAACAACAAATAAATGGACCTGTTAAAAAGAAACATGCTATTTTTGATGATAGTGATGATGTTTTTCCTGTAAGAACACTTTTGTTTTTTTATTATGAAATAGAATTCTATTGTTTCGTATCTATGTAGAATAATCAACAAAAATCATCAGATAATAAAAATAAAACTCCATCAGCAACAACAAATCAAACAGGTGCAAGTGGACCAAAAACTGGTCTAGTTGGAAGCCTTTTTAATCGTCTTGGTTGGAAACGACCAACACAAGCGCATTTACCTGATGATAAAGATAGAACAGTAAGAAAAAATTATTTCATATATAATATGTATTTTATCTACATTAATTATTCATTAGCTCAAGTTTGACCAACAGACGGGTCGTTGGATTGATACATCTAAATCAGCTGATGAGCAAGCATCAACACAAGTTAAACCACCTCCAATGATGTCATCAAACAACACATCATCTTCGTTTGTAGCTAATCCGTTACAACAACAACAAGAACAACAACTGCAACAGCAGCAGCAGCCACAACAGTCGTCATCATCAACATATAATCCTTCGATGACATCCGGACCTTCTCATTCATCTCAACCTCGAACATTAAGTTTCGGTGCTGGATCAACTACAACAACTACAAGCACACCAGCACCTCAAACTACAGCTGCAGCTTGGCCTCCACAATCAAATACTGTTACTGCACCTATAACCGCTCAACCATCGCAACAGCAGCAGCAGCAACAACAACAACAAAAGCCTCCTGCACAATTATCAGCTGCTCAGCAACGTCTTCAAGCACTTAGACAACAACAACAACAACAACAAACAGCTATGCAACAGACTCAAGCTCCACCAGCTACTTCATCTAATCAATACTCTCTTAAAAGTCGACGTAAGTTATAAAATAAAAAATTATTAAAATCAAAAAAGACGTAATCAAATATTTTTATTTTAGCAAATCAATCCCGTTATGTTGATATTCTTGCTTCAACCAAAGGTGCTATTGCACCAACTCCCAATGTCTCACTCAACGATCTTATACCAACACCATCAACTGGTATGCCAACTATAGCATCATCAAACCAAACAAATAATTACTTTGTACCACGTTAGTCGTTTATTCTACTTGCTTCTTTTTTTTCTTGCTTGTTGTTTGATAACAATATAGCTTATTGCAATAAATTGCATTGACTTAATTGCACTGCTTTAGAAACCCATCTAGCAAATGATTCAACTGATGCAGAAGTTTCATGGATCAATTCTCATGTAACAGTTAAAAAAAAGAACTAACACGCATGCTTTCTTAGGCACCTAACCCTCTCCATTGGATACGAATTATTGTTTTGTTTAAAATATAATCTTAAATAAATTCTTATGGAATAATATTTAGATCCCTCACAATCCACAACCGACGGCCATGAACAATCATCATTTTCATCTTGATCAAAGACATTAAAATGACTGGGTATTTCTAAAGAAAATAATTAATATTTCGATGATTTTTACATGTTTATGGTGATGGCTATGGTTTTAGAATGAGGTCTTCTGTTTATTCTCTTTCTTTATTTTATTTGTTCTTTCTTCTTTTTTCGTTTCTTTTCGTTGTTATACTTGTTTTGGGTGGTTGTCAAATGCACACACATTCTGTTTCGTTCTTTCTTTCTTTCTTTCGCGTTATAATTATTTCTATATATTTTTCTCTTAGCTGCTTATTTATTTGCATTCATATATAACTTGTGAAGAGGAGCTTTATGCGTACGTTGATTGTCGTTGTTCTGCTCCACCGAATTTTTTTTTCTATTGTAAATGTATACGTGCGCATCTTATTGAAATTGTTTTGTTTGTTTTGAACGCCAATTTTAAACATGTATGTGATAGATAAGAAAATGGAGACAACAGACGTTATCGAAACATGTAATTGTATCAAAAAAATCACTGCAAGAAAATTTCCATCAACTGAGCCTATGTTCTGATTTCTAAAGTATGGCTATTCAAAAAAAAATGACCAAATATTTTCATGTCATTCAGTTATATTCAATAATCGGATGAAGACAAAACAGAAAAGGTTAAAAATAATTGCCTATGTGCTGAAGATTATTGTTGTTTGCTCGAATCGATTTTTTGAATTTGTTTTAAGTATGAATATATTATGAAATGATATTTAACAGGTGTATTTCTCTAAAAGTGTAGCTTATCACTATAGTATATTTACACCAAAGTTTATTTCTTGAAAAAAAAAAGTCAATGGAAATGAATCCATAGCAGTTGAAGTACCACGATTAACGATCATATATAAAAAAGTTAATATTGACTGATTGGGTGTCTGAAGTATATATGTCGATTTGATCGAGCGTAACGCGATGACATTTTGGTCACAGTTTTATTAACTTTTCTCAGCAATTAGGTTGGTCAGAAGGTTCGTTTTTTCGTTGGAAGATGTGTCTTTGCCTTCCCCAAAACCTCTGAAAATATGAGCTCGTTTGGATGAGTCGTTTGAGAATTGTAGCAAAAATAGATGACGTAACGCGATGACGCAAAAAGGACACAAAGTTGAGGATGACTTGGTTATAATTTATTTTTCTACGAATGTGTGCTGTCTTAAAAGAAATGTTCCATAGACGTTTTGTAGTCGACAGTTCGAGCTATCTAATAGAAAAAAAAGTTCTTCAAACAAGCTTCTTATTTTGAAGAGAGATCGGTTTAATTAGCGCAAAGCAATGATGGCTTCGTAATGCGATGATATTAACTTTTATAAGAATTTTTTGTATGTTTCCTTTTACTATATGTATAACTACGTAAAAAGGCGATCATGTTTTGATCTCAATACTGGCAGTCAATGGTTTTAACACATTGAGCCCGATGTCGCCCATCAGTGGGCGACGCTATAATTTAACGAGAAACTGTATAGAAAAGCACTTTCTTTTGCTTTTTTCTTTGGCAAGAGGTTAAACATAAGGTGTCATCTGTTCTATCTTCATTTCTGACTATAATAAATTTTTTTGTCTTGAGTGTTTTAATAATAAGTATTATGCTATGGAATAAAGGACTCAAATAAAGTACTGAAGATGGAACAGATGACATCTTATGTTTAACCTCTTGCCAAGGAAAAAAGCAAAAGAAAGTGCTTTTCTATAGTTTCTTGTTAAACTATAGCGTCGTCCACCAGTGGGCGACATCGAGCCCAATGTGTTAAAAATCTGCTCAGAAAAAGGACTGTTCGAATAAGGTGGCTTACAGTCGTCGAAAAAATTATCCGTACGATTTTGTTTTTGATAAAAGATAGTCAGAATACCGATCTTTTAAGATTTGGTGGATATCAAAAGTATCATCGTGTCGTGTAGTATTTACACTATAAAAATCAACATGATTGAATGAGTCCATGTTAAACTAGAGACAAATCTTTGAACATCATATATGTTCTAGACGCAAAAATTATCCGTACGATTTTGATAAGGATCATATTTTTCCTTCTTTAGAATTTTGAAAAACTTTATTATAACATCATTAGATGCAGGAAGAAATAAGTACCATGTTCATAGCGTTTTTGCAATGCCATTATATAAAGTGAACGGATCTAGTTATTATAAAACGGAAGATCTTTCTTTTGAAACATTTTTACGAGAAAATGACGAAAATAAACTCTTTTTCAAAATATTATTTTGAGCGTGTGCAGATTGTTGTTGAAGCAGGCTGCTAAACATCGTTATTATAGTTATCAAACAGACACAGAAAATATGTATTGTGCTCGCTATATCACAAGTTTTAACTAATATTTTTGGGAAAAATCCAGTTTGGAGTTTTCTCGTAAAGATACTTGAAAATAAAGATTCGTGGTTTTTCAATAACCAAATGACCTTATTCTATACACTTACATTGTGAAACGCTATGAACGTGGTACTTGTTTCTCTCTGCATCTAATGAAGTTATAATAAAGTTTTTTCAAAATTCTAAAGAAGGAAAAATATGATCCTTATCAAAATCGTACGGATAATTTTTGCGTCTAGAACATGCGTGATGTTCAAAGATTTGTCTCTAGTTTAATATGGACTCATTCAACCACGTTGATTTTTATAGTGTAAATACTACACGACACGATGATGCTTTTGATATCCACCAAATCTTAAAAGGTCGGTATTCTGGCTATCTTTCATCAAAAACAAAATCGTACGGGTAATTTTTGCGCCCACTGTATATCCCTAGGATTAAAAAAAATTTTTAAGGGTAAACATCTTGATTCATCAATAATAAATGGTACAATAGAAATCATACTTGAAAGAAAGACTTATGATTCAATGACTTGAAAAATAAACGTAGAAAAATTTGAGAAAATATTTAAAAAAAGCCGCTACCTTCTTAGATCCTCATCATAAAACTAAAATGTATACCATTCGTTTTCTGATCAAAATAATCATTGAATCTCTCAGGCAATTTCAGTCATTTCAATATCTGAATGCCTTAACATTTGAATATAGCTTAAACGTCCATGATTAAAATCCATCCATCATTAAACTCTTCTCATAATCTTAATTAATCATACTGATTTTAATTTTCAAAGAAAATGATAGACAATAAGTCAGTTGATTGATAATTAATTAAAACTTGACATTCTTTTATCCATCACTTAATTAATATCTTTACAAAAGTACAATATAAATGAAAGAAAATAAAAATTTGACAGTATATTGAGAGGATTCCGACAAGAAGAGATCATAAACAATTATATTTTACATATGAGTTGATTTGTACTTTATAGACAATTAAAAATTGAGGATTAAATATTTGATACAATGCTTCATATATTGAGTAGATTTCAATCATTTACAAATTTTACTTCTTTCACTTCAATGTCAAATTAATCTGAATGATTAATGTACCGATAATTTAAAATTGTTTCTATTTTTGAGCATAGGGTAACAATTGAATTTCCTCAGCTCTTTTTTTCTTGTATAGAACCAGTTGATCAAATGAAGTTTTGTATTGGTGTCAGTGATATTGAATAGTAGAATTATTCGAATATTGTTCTTCTCTTTTGCTTTGTATCTTATTGACTTCATCATGATTGTTACTAACTAATTTTTAAAGTTTATAAACCGAAAACAATATTTTTCTTGTGAATCAATCAAGTGCAATTATCGAGATTTGAAGTATTTTTCTACGAGGATTATTTATTTTGTAATAAATTGTCAGACTAAATGACCTTCATTTGAAGGATATAATCGTTGATTTCATGACAACTTAAAAGTCAATCATTTTTGGATTTACTTCAATTAAATATAATTCATTAGTATACAAAACCCTATACCCTATATTAAAATCATGTAATAAAATAAAGAAATATCCTAGTATATTTTTGTATTCTTAAGACTACGGAGTTAGAACTAAAACTTTAACTTATAAATAAGACTATTTTAAATTATTCGATAGAGTTTGGTTTATTGATTCGTTTGATTTGATACTAGAAAGATTAAATATTTAAACTTAGTAGGTAAAATTTTTATTATGATAATAGTAGCGGAAGTAAAAATATCAAAATTTCCTTTCACAAAAAACACTTCTAAATAAAAGAAATCAAAGACAAACACGCGCAGATAAATCCACACTTGTCAGTAAATTCCAGCAGTTTTAAAATAAGATTAATAAGGATTAAAAAAAATAGTTAATTTTCTCCGTTTCCATATACAGTTACAAAAGAAAAAACATTGCTAAGAAGTATGTTTTGTAGTGCATATGAAAACTAGCAGACAATAAGTAAAAAAAGAGAAATGCACACACTCATCGAAAATTGATCATCACATTACAAGGTACGGGAATTCATTGTTTAAATAATTCATTGAAATAGAATAAATCGAAGTATTTTTATTTTTATGTTTTTGTAAAATTACCTGAGATGAGAAGATGGATTTAAACGTGAAAAAAATGAAGCAGAAAAATAGATAAAACCTAAGCAATGACAGAAAGAAGCTTAACCAAACTATGCAAAAACCTATATATATATATATATGTAATAGGTTTACATATTGTTAGTTTGGTTTTTTTTTGTTTAATTTTGTGTGAGTCGACGACTTCGTTCAAGTAATTCATCATCATCAATATGTCCATCCGAATAACGAAAAGAAGAATAATAGTTATGCCATGGCTGAGCACTCTAAAACAAAGATGTTTTTTGTTTTTGAAATTTTCATTAAATAAAAAGACGAAGAATTCTTCTTACATAAGAATCAAGATTATGTCGAAGAGTATGAAGAACCTTGTCACTTAGTTCGCCTGCTGGCGATTGTCGATGACGATAACGAAACGGATCTCGAACTAATGTTGTACTTGTTACATAAGGTGACGTACAACTGGAGTAGACAGCTGATAAACAAAAAATAAAATGTTAATTTAAATTAAATATATTTAAATTGATTACAATTATGGGAAGAGGGTTATAGAAAAACTTAAATAAAAATTTACCCGGTGCATATGATTTATGTTTTGAAGTTGTCGTAAAACGTTGCTAGAAAAAGGAAGCAAAAGTATTTTCACTTCAATTTTATTCGATTGAATTCTTCTTTTTTTTAATTAATTTCCAACCTGTTCTAACGATTTTGCTCTTCGACTTTGTTCACTATGAGTACGATGTAATCGACATATAGCACAATCTACAGTCGAATGAAGTTCTAGATAGTTTTCTAACAGAAATAAGATAGAAAAAAACCAAATAATAACTTACCACCACCTGTATATGGAGAATCATAATCATAATTATTACACAAACATGTTGTTCTTGAACGTGACTTAGCACGTCGTATAGGTGTTCGTGAACGTCCCCGAGGTTCAAAATCAACAGAACGAGATGTTCTTAATGAACGACGAGGCAGTGATGTTGACCGAGCTCGTGCTCCTCTTGAACCACTTCTACGACGATTAATTGGAGAAATCGATCGAGAACAATTACAACCATCATTTAATCCATACAATGACATGAAACTATTATCACGAGAGAATGAATAATCATTAACAATTAAACCATCATCAAGGACAATATGTGATAGAGGTTGACGACCAATCAGATTCGTATTGACCTAAGAGAAAACAATATCTACTTATTGTTGAATCAATTCTAATGAATAGATTTACATGTCGTACGACAAATGGTTGTCGTCCGAGTGTTTTATCTATCGTAACAACAGGTCTAACTCTTCCTGGTACAGCTAATTCATGTAATTTTTCTTGTGTTGGACGTTGTGAATAATCACCTTTTACTGCTGATGATATTGTATGTGCTGTTACTGAACTTGATACATTAGTCGGATCGTACAATGAAGATCTATTCCATCATATATATGTTTTATGACAAATATAAATGATAAATCAAAGAAGAGATTACCGTTTTGGATATGTAGACGTTGGTTTCCATGTTATTGATTTTGATCGTTTCGGCTAGAAAACGAAATAAAGAATCCTTTTTCTAATTTGATGAAATAATAAAAAGCTATCTTACACTTTTTCCATATGAATCCAAAGGTTTTATATATTTACGAGTTTTAATACTCTTTGCTATCCCAGTAACATCATCAATAGATGGACTGACAGTAAATTCCAAACTGGGAGCAGCTCCTGGAAAATTAACTGTACGACTAAGAAGAATATAACGATGTAATCCTGTATATTGTACTCGATCATATGAATATGGATAAAGAAAATCTTTTGTACTTGTTTCATAAGTTGCCAAAATAACTGGTGATGAAACATTAGTTTGAAGTAATTCAAAAAGAATATGTTCACCTATTCATATTTAATTCATTTTTATATAAAAAACTTATTTTGTTTTTATATTCTTACGTTCAAGTCGTTGAATAATATCTCGTGGATTATAACATGATTTAAAAATCTAGATTGAAAATTTTTACTTTTATTGAATAATTAAATTTTGACACATACTTTATCAAAATATAATTTTTCATTAATATGCATTGGAAAATGAGGTTGCATTAAACGTGTACGTTTGTGTACATCCAATAAACAGATATTGACGTAAATATCACCTTTTGTTGATAGTCGAGCACCAGGTGCATCAACTACATTAACATTCAATTCAACAGAATATTTATAAGCTTTTTTTAATGGTGACATTGTTAGTTTTTTCGATTTTGTCTTTTTTTTGTGTAAAAAATATAATTTATAAAGGAATATTTATTTTGCAATGTAAATGATTTATTATAACCGCAAAATACTTATAGGTGAATGTCCATTAATCAATACCGATGTATATGTTACGATGACAACTGTTTTTAGTACTGTTTTGTAAATTAAAAATTTATTAAATGATTAGAAAGTATTATTATTATTTTTAATTAGTTTTGTTACTAAATTTGGATGAACAAAACAACATTGAATTTAGCGACATCTTTTGATAAGACAAAAAAAAACAGCAACATTAATAACATTGAGTCTTCTGAACAGAAATCTATCAATCGAATTCACTTGATTCTTCTATCATAAACTTCATATTTTAATTGTAAATAATTAATTAATTAAAATTGAAGTAAATATTCAACAGTAGACTATTGTCAATTAAAAAACAACCTCTTTTCGTTCATTCGTTAATACTTTTGTTTATTTGTGTCTCCTCATTATTGTCCATGAGTCACAGCAAAAGAATCTTGTTAGTCATCAATATTTTCCTCATTCTCGTGTACTGCTTCCTATATAAATGCATGTATACAGGCAGTAATTCGTCAGATGTTACTCTGTTCATTATAAAAGTGATTCTTTATAACTAAATCGATGGGAGACCAGAATTTCGGCCCAAGGAATTTTCGTCCCGGACTTTCGGCCCGATACAAAATAAATATTAGACTGAGGGTGATTCGATTTCAATATGAAAAAATTTTTTTTCCGGGCCGAAAGTCCGGGACGAAAATTCCTTGGGCCGAAATTCATGTAACTCAAATCGATAAGAAAAACGTCATCTATATCTATTCTAGATAAAATTTCAATAATAGAAAAAAACAAAAATAACGAATGACAGACGACAAAAAAGAATCATCTAAAGAGCTTGATTCATGGATTGAACAATTAAAAGAATGTAAGCAATTACAAGAGAATCATGTTAAATTTCTTTGTGATCGAGCTAAAGATATACTTGCAAAAGAATCTAATGTACAAGAAGTTCATTGCCCAGTAACAGTATGCGGCGATGTACACGTAAGAAGAATAATCTATTCATTATTATTATTATTATTGATTTCAATATTTTGGCTTCTCTTTTTTTTTCTAGGGACAATTTCATGATTTGATGGAATTATTCAAAATCGGTGGTAATGCACCAGATACAAATTATTTATTTATGGGTGATTATGTTGATCGTGGATATTATTCAATTGAAACAGTTACATTACTTGTTGCACTTAAAGTTCGATATAAAGATCGAATAACTATTCTTCGTGGTAATCATGAATCTCGACAAATTACACAAGTTTATGGATTTTATGATGAATGTTTAAGAAAATATGGCAATGCTAATGTTTGGAAATATTTTACTGATTTATTTGATTATCTTCCATTAACAGCAATTGTTGATAATCAAATTTTTTGTTTACATGGTGGTCTTAGTCCATCCATTGATACATTAGATCATATTCGAGCTTTAGATCGAATTCAAGAAGTACCACATGAAGGACCTATGTGTGATTTACTTTGGTAAGTTGTTATTATCAGTTGCAATAAAAGAATTCTATTATATATATTTAGGTCGGATCCTGATGATCGAGGTGGTTGGGGTATTTCACCACGTGGTGCTGGTTATACATTTGGACAAGATATTTCAGAAACATTCAATCATACTAATGGTTTACAATTAGTTTCTCGAGCTCATCAACTTGTTATGGAAGGTCAGTATAATTATCTTATTTGATTAATTAGATTTTATATTTGAGATATTTTTAGGATACAATTGGTGTCATGATAAAAATGTAGTAACAATATTTTCTGCACCTAATTACTGTTATCGTTGCGGAAATCAAGCAGCAATAATGGAATTAGATGATTCATTGAAATATTCATTTCTTCAATTTGATCCAGCACCGAGACGAGGCGAACCACATGTAACACGAAAGACGCCAGACTATTTTCTTTAATTTATCGTTTTTTTTTCTTTCTTACTTTTTTTTGTTCATATTGCACAAGAATACAACCCACCATTTTCTTTTTTCCTAAATCATTGTACACATACCTGCCGTCGTTTGTCGTTTTCTTTATGAAATTTATTCTTTTCTTCTTTCCAAAATAATGTGTGTACTATTAAACAAAAAAAAAAAAAGAAAAGCGGAAATTTTTAGGCAAAGGAACTACTTTTTATAATAATCATTATTTCTGCTTATCTCTTTTTTTCTTATTCGATCGATCAGTATGCATTTAGAATGCTATTTCTTTGTCTTTTATTGATTGTGATCAATCGTTATATGTGCGTATGTGTAATTGATTTTATTATCATTTGTCATTTTATTTTTTCTTTTTATCTCACTAACTGTCAAAAAAAAAAATGACAAATTTATTTGTAATCTGTGACTTGCATTCATTGCTATACATATTTTTTATATGTATAGTTTTTCGATTGTTCGTTGAATGACAGTATCAGTGAGTTCTTTTTTTTTCTGTTTCTTTGCTTTTGATTTTTTGTTGCCATTTTTATTCTTACGCATCTATCTAATACTTTTTTTTCTGAAAATATATGAGCCTATCATCATACGGATGAATATAAATAAAAAAAAAAAGAAAAGAAAAGAAAAGAAAAGGAGTGGATGATAATTAAATAACTGAGAAGAACAAGAGGCTGAGTATGTGTCTGATATTTGAAAATAATAATGAATAATTTTATTTTTATTTATAGATTTTGTTTTATTTCGTTGAAGGCTTGGAAGTTTAATAAGATTACATAAGTCTATTGATCAAAAGATGATCTTTCTCGAAACAGATGATAGATGGTAGCATATAACTGAGTATTATAATGAGAGTTAAGTAAAGATCAGAATTATATGTCAATCTTTGATATGTTCATCATTTTGTAAACATGGTCTGGTTATTAATAAACCAAAAAAATGACTATGAACGTTTATCCCTTTACAGCCGGATGTATCCATTTGGATACATGAAGCCAATGTTTTACGAAGAAGTAACTTGTAGTGATGATATGAAATGTTTTGACGATTTGATAAATAAGTTAACACATTTCAACACACATTCACGTGTTTAGGAGAAGGAAATAACACTCACTAAGAAAATGGCCGGCTCTATCCAAAATGCTCCAAAATAGCATCCGTATAGAAATAATCCTTTTCTCGTGTCTCTAAATAATCAAACTTCGAAGCAAACAGTTGTTAATTTTCCTTCATAGACCTACTGTCTATTAGATCACTAAGACGGATTATTTAAAAAATCCGAATAATAAAAAATGGGAATGTATCCATTTGGATACATCCGACCACTAAGGGACAAAAATTTTGATAAAGCATTTCTTTTTGTCCAGCAAAATTTGATATTTTATGATTTTTCTTACATCTATATTTGTAGATGAAATCACACGTTGCCTGTTTATCGATGTTTTGCAGCCCAACGCTTAAATATTTCTAGAATGTTCTAAGATTCTGCAGTATAGTGCAATAGTAGCTCAATTTTTTTCGAAAATTTCTATAAATTCAGGAATATTGTAGAGAGTTGCTGAATATTTCGTGATAGCCTAGTTTGGAACACTAGAAAAATGTTCAGAAACTCTTTAGAATGTTTCTGAATTTCTAAAACTTTTCGGAAAAAATTGAGCTACTATTGCACTATACTGCAGAATCTTAGAACATTCTAGAAATATTTAAGTTTTGGACTGCAAAACATCGACAAAAAGGCAACGTGTGATTTCATCTACAAATATAGATGTAAGAAAAACCATAAAATATCAAATTTTGCTGGACAAAAAGAAATGACTTTTTCAAAATTTTTGTCCCTTAGTGGCCGGATGTATCCAAATGGATACATGAAGCCATTAGATGCCGAAGCACTTATTGGTTCTGAGAAATAAACTTTTCCTATCTCAATGGTCTAGAAGCAACGAAAATCCATAAAAAGACTTTTTTGTTACTTGTCTTCTAGTAGCCGGCTGGAAAGGGTTATAAGACGAAATAAGATACAAATAGAGATGTAAATACTGATAACAATAGTTGAGGTATTCGAACAAATTTTGAAAGTTCCTCGATTTTGAAAACTTAATAATCAAACAAAATAGAAAAATATATGATAGAGAATGATAACAAAAAAAAAGCATCATAGCACTAACGACAATAGAATCTTCAATCCAAAAACTTATGTTTTTCAAACAGGTACTTGTAGTAGTAACAATGACTGACACTGTTAAAACGAAATTGTCATTTTCGAGAGTTATAGTTGCTAATATTTTGAGAAAAGTTAATTGAGTTGGAGAGATTTCTTGAGCATGAAAGAAGACAGAAGATCATCTCTTTTGAAGAAGAAGAACATTTTCAGTAAAGTTTTTCTCAGATTACATTATGAAGTTCTTGCCAGTCAGAGCTTTTGTCCTTTCTTCTGTCAACAATAATCAAAAGCTGTATAAAAAGTCGACTCATGTATCTTTATGACGATGATATTCATAGTAGGATTGTTTTCTATAGATATAGAAAAATTCAATGGTGTAATGTTTTTCTTGTGGATAACATATTTAAACAAGATATTTGAGAAGCTTTCAATCATATTAATGGTCTTCAATTAGTTTCTCGACATCATCAATGTGATATGAAAGGCAAGTAGAATCCTCTTTCGTCTCTTCATTAGATTTTATATTTTATATGTCTTAGGATATGATTGATGTCATGATAAAATATAATGACACTGTTTTCTTCGTCTAATTATTGTTATCGTTGTAAAAATCAAACAGTAAGTATCGAATTGAATCATTTCTTGAAATATTTATATCTTCAATTTGATTCAATACCCCATGATGATGAAATTCCAGTAATATATAAAATATTTGGCTTCTTTTTTTCTTCATACATATCAATAGAAAAATGTCTTGAAATTTCTCTCGTATATGTGATGTATGAATGTTAATTAGTAATTGACTTTGTGAAAAAAAAATGATAGAGAAGAAAAATATCTTTTTCAGGGTAACATTTTATTTTATTTTTTTGTTTTAAAAAAATATACAAAATACAGAAAAATAAAAGCAAAATAGCTATATAAAAACCTTTTATTTTGTTTATTAAGCTAAGTAAGACATGCATTTTTTGTGTGGCTCAACTATGTTTTCAAGAAGAAGAATGAACTTGATTTGATTCGTAGATGCTATCATCAAATGGTTTTGTAGTATTTGGTAGCATAAAACCTGATGTTCGTCGTGTTTGTCGAGATAATCGATCGGAATGATGATGTCTAGAACTTGCCGATGATAAAATCAGTTTTGACATTTGAGAGAAGAATGAATGCTGCTTAGGTAGAAGTACTTTTTTATTTTGAGTAGAACTGTTTTCTTTCAATGAAGATGAACTAAGAGAAAGATTAAGATTGTTTTTAGATGTTGAAGAAAGTCCTTGAGAATTATCAGAAAGATCCTATACATAGAAACAAAAAATATGATCATATAATTTCATATAAAAAAATATTCTCTGTTATCATACTTGAATAGAAGCAACAAGATGAAATTGACGACGTCTTTGAGATGTTACTTTGTTGTCGTCTTTAGATTTTTGACGATTCTTACGAGTCCATATCCAGTATTGAAAAAATGCTGTCCAATCTTGACTTGATGCTAATTGAATATTATATTGAAAATTATTTCTATAATGTTTTTGTGCTTGATTAATATAAGATTCAAGCGTTTGTTGTAGTACTGTTCCATATGTACTATCAAATATATCATTTAAATTCGTTGCATATCGACATGGTACATGGCATTCTAAATTCCATTCAATAACAAGACCTTCTTGTGTTAGACCAACAAGCATCTCATATGTATGTTGACGAATAAAATGAAAATGTTGACAAAGAAAATTATGTGGTACTGAACCACGTACAAGACGAATATTATTATTATTATTACTTTTATTATCATAATAGAGTGTTACACGTTTTATTAATTGATCAATATTTGATGTTTGAGTTGAATGAAGATAAATTTCTGGTTGATTTTCTTGTTGTTCAATCGATGTTGCAATAATAGAATAGCGACCAGATTGTTTCATTTTTATAAAAACATAATAACCATCTTCATCAAGACATTCAAGATAATCATTTGGGACTTGATGACCATCACTAGATGATACTGATGAACGATGGATACGTTCAGCTCGAAAAATAGATCCTTGTGGATATTTTTTCCTTGACCAATATAGAAAATTTGAATCTTGAAAATAAGCTACAACACGATCGCGTGACATAAATACAATTGAATGTTTAAAATCCGATGCAAAAGTAATCAATTGTTCTAGATTTCTATAAATTCGACTACAACGTTGACCACAAAGAACAAATTCAAATAATCCTTTAATAAATAGAAACAAAAAAATAAATAAATAATTGTTTCTTTTTTTCTTTTTCATATGTAGTGTTTAGAATTACCTCTGAAGAAATCTGGCATAACAAAAGTACAATGAGGAGGATAAATTTCAAATTGATCAGGTTGATCTTTACGCCGTTGAAGTGGTGTTAATAATAGTTTATTTGAAAAAGTTCGATGAAAAAAAAGTATTGTTCGATAATTATTATTTGTTACTTGTTGGTCACTATTGTTATTAATAAATGAAATAAGTAATGGTAATTGATTAGCTGTACGTTTAAGAATATGTTTTAATGAACTATAAGTTTCACTCCATGTACATTGAGATATAATCTCTTGTCGAAGATGTACCTCTTCTTTAGAACCGATAAGTTTGCTCATTTTGCCTTTTTTTCTATATTTTGCAGTTCTGCTACGTACATATTCGGCCTTGTAATATTATACAGAAATATGACCGTCATTCTTACTCCACGCATGATCGAACGACAGCGTCTTGATTACTCATGTTGCATTGAGAAAAATAAAAACACAAAATGTCAGTGAATATTTGCTGGAAATAAAGGTAACTTATTAAATATGTCACACATCAGTAGTAAGATAGAGCAAAAATCAACATTTATGTAAAATATATAGATATAACCGATGCCATAATTTGTTTGCTCAAGGAAAAGGTAATAAGAAGAGAAAAAAAATATTAAAAAGAAAAAATAAGCACTAAGGTTTTTTTTATGATGATGAAAGTTGAATGCTTTATTCATCACTTTCCATAGAATTACACAACTTGTTAAAAAGAAAGCACTTGGTATGCAGTTTACTTTGTTGTTCTTCTTCCTCGTCGTCGTCGTCGTCGTCGTCGTCTTGTTTTTTCTTCCTTTTTTTATCGTATATTTTTTCTATTCATGCATTAAATCAATATAGAATTAATTTTACATTTTACATATTCGAGTTTCTTCAAATACACATTAAGAAGAATTAGAAATTTCTATCAAAATTATAAAATAGGTATACGTATGATGCAAAAGGCTGTCAATGGTATTGTAAAATAACATAATAACCTCTTTAATTGCTATCAATAGTATATTTTAAGTAAAAAATTAATTGAGAATTCTTCTATCCACTAGATTGATCGAGAAGCTGTGATGTCAAATATTGTTTTTTTTTTTCTATAGAATTGCGCAAGTTTTTCTTATTGTCTATATTACTCATTTTAGTCTTATTCGTTCTGTCTTTGCTAGATTTTTCCTTTTTTTTTTGGTCTCGTTCTCTTCTATGCTTGCAATTCTTTTATTCAAATGGCGTTGTCATTAATCGAAGAGAAAAAGGAAAGGATGAATAGAACAAGATGAAAGCCGTCAACTCATCTTCTTATTCATCGCCATCTTTACCCAATATCATGATACCACAGTTTCAACAATTACTGCCACTCGAGACTTCCTTATCAGGTACAATATTTCAAAAAAAAAAAAAAACAACATCAATAAACTATACGTCTTTGCTATTTTTCTTTTTCTTGTTCTTTACATGCTCTATTCGTTTACATAGGAAATTGGTTGAATACTCATTGTACTTCAGAATTATTATCAACAACAAATAAATTATTATCGCCGCCAATTTCCATTACCCCATCATCAATTTGTACTGGTTAGAAATATTTGAATCATTTTATGTTTATTGTTTTGTTTTGTTTTTCATTTTTCTTAGATTTATCTGAAAGTGAATATCAACCAATTGATCTTTCATCATCACGTAAATATTCACTTTCATCACCACCATTATCAAATATTAAAAGTGAATCAATTGATTTAACTGATTGTACATATTCATATTCTAAACAAGAATCAACAATGATTATATCAAATCATGATAAAAATTTTTTCGAAAAATCAAAATCATCTTATAAAATACCAAAGCAACATTCAAATTTCAGTATAGAATATCTTTTATCACCATCATTTGGATCACCAACATATGAATTTTTAAGATTACCGTATAAACAAGTTAATAGTATATTTACAAAGAAAAAAACAAAACATTTTTCTGATGATTATCTTCATCGAATAATTCATCATAGAAAACAACATAAACAAGAAAAGAAATCTTATTTAGTTAAATATTCTAATCAACCTCGAGGAATATTTATTCGTTATATATTTGATTTATATAATGATTTAATTAATCAACAAAATCAGATAAAAAATCGAAAAAATTTTTTTACTATTGATGCTCTCGAACAATTAGCTGATATTGCTTGTAAACTCGATACACGTCATAAAAAATCTATTTTAAATGACAAAATATTAACATCGAAAAATTATGAATTATTATTCAAACAATGTCATTTATTAATAAAACAAATTTATCAAAAATATCAACATAAAAAAATTCCAAAACGTCTATATTATAATCCAAAAGCAAATTTTAAAGATAGATTTCTTCATTTTTCATTATCTATTTTAAATATTTTACAAATGGAAAGGAATATCTTATTATATGGATCATATCATTCTGATTGCCATATTTTAACGTCAGATATTCAGAAAAATTTAATTGAAAACAAAAGAACAATAAACAATAAACAATCTATTTGTTTCCATTTAAAACTTGATCAAATTACTTCAAATTTTGAAATACTTATTCCAAATAATGGTCTTGTATATGAAGCTATTATACAACGAATTGATAGTTATGATGATTTACTACTTGTACGATTACATCATGAAAGACAAACTTATTTAATACCAATACATGATTTATGTCGTTTGGCATGTCCAAAAATGATACCAGGCGATTTTAATATTTTATCAAAAGGTTCACGCGTTTGTGCATATTGGAGTACTAGTTTACGTGGTCTTCATCCAGCGACTGTTAAAAAAATGCCATTTGAAATGGATAAAACTTCTGTCGTAAGTCTGTTATTTGATGATGGCGACACAGGATTAATTAAACTCGATGAAATACGTTTATTACCTGATAACTATGATATTAAAGGTACGTTGAAAGAATTCATAATTCATTTTAACTGTTTGTTACAGATGGGGAGGGGGAGAGACGGACTGCAAAATCGATAGAAAATGCTTTCACTCTTGCCGTGCTAGATGTAGTGGCCGAGGAAGGGAGGAAGAACGAAAACCACCGTAACCCAACTTCTCCTACAATAGATGACACTATAGTACTAGGCCGTTCCACCCTAAAATCTGGCTGCTGTCCTAAGTTAATACGAACCCATAAAAAAATTAGCCGAAACTATTACGAATTTTCGTAGGAAGTCGGATATTTTAGAGGAAAGAGTCTTCGTAATCAGGAATCCTACCCTGCAAATAGGATAGGTTAAGGGTAAGGAAATTTTCCTCAATCAAGATACCGGATACGAAAAAAAAGCTTACCTTTCATAGCCTTAATATCCTTAATATCTTTGATTTCTAGTTTTTGTACAGTTGATAATGTTTCATATGTTTTTGAACTATCATAAACTAACGTCTTGTTCATCAATTATTTTGTGTAATTAAATTACATTCTTTTTATGAAGAGAAAAAAGTGTTTACTCTACGAACCATCTAATTAAAGGATATAATAGGTTAAAAATAGTCAATGACATAAAATAAATAGCCGTAAAAATATTAAACGACTTGGAAACCACAAAATTGACTTGTGATATATGCAAAATAGTTTTTGATTTATTTAAAATCAAAATCATTATGATAGTTTGAACTCATTATAATCCATTTTTGAAACCTTGATATTCATCATAGTTGAATTTAAAACGAAATTCTTTTTTTTTCTCTATTCAATGTATAGTTCTTTTTTCTATTGTAAAATTACTTTAAGGTATTAATTTGGAAGAATGGCGTGTATCTTCCTTTCAAATTCCCTCAAGTTTACCAACTAGTCGTCGAACTTCACGTCGTGTGTCATCAACTGCATCTATTAATAGAAATTCTTCAACAAAAAAAGTAAAAAAAGATAAAACCTCATCTTCATCTTCAGTAATAGTTCCTCAATGGACATTAAACACTCGAAACTCAACGATATGTCGTCATGACAATAAACAAATTCTTCGCATTGGTGATTGTATTATACTTCATGGTGTTGATAAATCACTGTCATACATTGGCAAGGTGCTTAAATTCTATCGAAATAAATCAACTCAACAAGATTTGGTCAGATTACAATGGTATTATAGTCCTCAAGAAACTACAACAGGTCTTCATAAAAATGATTTACCTGTAAGTATAAAAATATTTATTAAAATAAAATTTCTTATTTAATTGTTTTATTTTTGCTATCATATAAAGGGTGCTCTATATGAGAGTACACATATTGATGAAAATCCGATAGCAACTATACGATCTAAAGGTACTATTTATGGATCGTATGACGATTATGTGAAGAAAACTGATTATGGAAAAAAGCGACAAGAAACAGATTTTTATCTTGTTGGTCAGTATAATCCGACATCAAGTAAACTACAACGGTACAATAATAAATAATGCTAGACGAAAAAAAAACGTATTTATGAAAAAATGGTACTTTTTGTTTGTACAAAAGCAATATATCATATTCGTATCTTGTTTAACAGTGATATTAATGATTTTATTTCGATTTTTCATCTCCATTATTTATATATATATATATATAGCCGGTGTTTTTAACAATCAAGAGCCTTATTTAAGTCATAGTTATGTTATATGTCTGTATGTGTTTGTTTGCTTTTATTGATGCCTTTTACAAGAAATAAATAAAAGATTATTGGAAAAGAAAATATCATTCCAGATTATCTTATTTTTCAATTGTAGAAAATTTTTCATTTTATGAAATAAATTAGTAATGATCAGAAAAGAATTTGTGTGGATTGCGTGTATTTGATAATTCTTACAGAAAAATTTTTCAATCATACATCACGCACATAAAAAGATGAATATTATACAATGAACTTGTTTGAAAATAAGAGTTTCTATAATAGTTAGCATGAACTATTTGATTTTTTCATAATGTATAAAATAAAACTTTATTTGAAGAATATATATAACGAAGATCTATCAAATGTTCTTTGCATCTTTTCTTTTCTTTTTAGAAGAACGAAAAAAATTGGAATATTCATCATAATAGAAACTACTTTTGATAAAAAACATCTCTATTAAAATCATAATCTTTGCTTTATATTGAGTATTTACTTATAAATATCAATGAAACAACACTTACTTGTTTATGTACTTTTATAGATGTGGATTGAAATCTCGCTCTTTTTTATTTTGTTCTGTTATACTAGTAGACTCATTTCATATTCGAATTTTTCGACTAACTTATAAACAAAAAATCTTTTACAAAAAGAATTCTTTTTCTAGAATATTATTAAAAGATTAAAATAGAACATTTTGAATGTCATTTATATTATCATTAAATTATCAGTCAATTTCTGAAAAAAAAGCAGAAGAAAAGGGATCAATATTAATAAAACAAACGAAAATCTCTTTGTTGATAAAGTTCCATTACAAAAATCAGTGTCACAAAAACAAAATTTTTTAACTTTTTCTCTCATTTTAACATCACGACATCCATTAGCAGCATTTAAACCAATCATACTAGCTTTTGTTAAATCATCACTTGTAAAACAACGTCGATCTGTATCAGGTATTTCATCAACCATTCGTATAGCTTTTTCTCGTTCAGCCTTTGTTTTTGGTTCAATAACTTCGTATGACATCCAACATTTTCCATCACATGGTTCAGCTGAATGTTGTGTAAAATCAAAATGACGAAGACATGCAAATTTACGTGATTCAGCAAATCTTTCTTGATCAGATTTTAATGAATCACAACGCCAACATTGTAATGGAGTTTGACCAAAACCACCGAATTGACTATTGATTACAATTGTTTGCGTCACAATCACAACGATGAACAAAAAAACCACAACCATTGTATTTGACAATACAAAATGTATACTAACAAGAATGACAACAAACGTTTGTTGAGGATTAATCATTATTCACGTCCGTAAGAAAGAAAAGAATGTTTACCTTGCGACAAACGAAGATGTTCTTTTATTTGATCTAGACGATGAACAAAATAGTGTCCTACTTGTTTTGTAAAATTTTATTGGTTTGAATAAATATAAATGTCGATAGTCAATAAATGACTTTTATTTCTTTTATTGACAATTTATCAATTCTTTATTCTAGTTTCTTTTTTTTTCTTGAATTTAATAGTATTGAAAACCTAAGTAATATAATATTGTGCACAATCGAAATTTTTAAAGAAATTTATTTGACATATATATATATATATGTAGAGATATTCAAAGAAGTATTTGTAATCCAACACCCCATTTACATTTATGCATAGACCAAGAATATAAACCAAATGTTTGTAAAACAAGTGGAAAACGATGAATTTGATGTGTTAAAGCAAGACCTAATTCATTCTGAGTGTTAACTAAAGTGTTAATTTGTAAACCTATTTTATTTAGATACCATTGAGACATTAAACTAAATTTAATAGGTTGTTGTTCGTGATAATTGACTTTTTTTTCAGCAAGAAAACCTATAGTAAAATTAGTGTTAAGACAACGTTGAATACCAATTAAATACTGTTCAAATGGATCATATAAATTACACTTAAATATAAGTGAATCTGAAGAATGCTTGAGACGAAGACCAATATCGGCTAATTTTTCTTTAGAAGTTATCTAAATAAAAATGAAAAAACAAAGACTATTAGATTCATTATAATTTTTATTCAAATGTTGTTTTTCTTTACTCTAACATCAATACCACCATCGATTTGATAATTAACTCGTTGCCATAGACGTGATAAATAACTAAATTGAATACTAGATATATGTCGTGTTCCATATTCACCAATCAATTCATATGTTTCATTAGGACGTCGATATTCTACATGTGACCAAAATCGTTTTTGTGGTATTGTTCCAAAACGAATTGTTGTTGTCAGAGATGATGTCCATTGATGATTGATACTAAACATTAAATTTTTATCAGATGTATGAAATTTAATAATACATATCGGTATATTTTGTTGTTGATCATTATTTAATATCATGCCTGTTTGCTTTTCTCCACCGATTAAACTATAGAATGTCATATTTTTAAATATATCTATTTTAAATTTTTCTAAATTTTGTTGATCTATATGCATATTAAGACCAATATTTATTTCCGGTAGATGTAATAGAGGAGTTAAATAATATGTACTCAAACCCAGTGTAAGTGCTGTTTGACGAAATAAACCATTGATAATATTAAAAAAATGAGTAAGTTCATCAAATCGACCAATATTATTTTGAATAGTAATGGATGTGCATGATTTAGAAATGAAATTATTCGTTATTGAACGAAGACGAAGTTCATTATCTAGTATATGTACTGTTTTCTTGCTTGTCATATTACTATCATGACAAACATTTCGTGTTACTGATAAAAATGCAATTAGTATTTGCAATAAACCGCGAAAACTTAAACAAATCTTTGATATTCTCTTAACAAAAGTTGTTTTTTTTTATGAATTCAACTAGTTTTATGCATTAATAAATAAATTATTGTTTTATTCTGAAATATTTCTTTAAAAAATTAAAGTATAATATTAAAATTTCTTTTCTTTTACTTTTGTAACAAATAAGTAATTAAAAGTCAACTTAAAATAATAAGAAATCATATTTCGATCATGTTAACAACAATTATAAAATAGAATTAAATTTTTCAACATTTACTAGTTCATTTGAATAGCTTACTAGATTTTATTATTGTTCAAGCTCAAAGTAATTATCTTTTTCATATTAGATTTTCAGTCAAATTAATTTCATCAAAATGATTGAAGCTAATAATTTATTATCGAGAATATTAAAGCATGACAATTATTGCTGACAAAAAATTTTTCTAATAATCACAACAGTTATTAAGGATTGTATTCTATTTCTCGTTCACAGAAACGTCCTGTTCTATCATAACCACAATAACAGTAAAAATCAGTATTATTATTCACACCAAAACAATGGGCATTATTAAGACATGGAGCCGAAGCGCATGGATGAGAAACACTATACTTTTCACAAAACTCTCCTGTTCTATCTGCTGAACATAGGCATCTAAAAGTACCACTATTGGTAATGCAGGTACCACCAGAATAACAGGGCGATGATGCGCATGGATTTAATGGTAATCTTTCTTCGCAATAACGTCCAGTAGTGCCAGTAGGACAATAACAATAAGTTGTATTTCCAGATAGATAGCAGGTTCCTCCGTGGAAACAGGTGGTGAAACTGCATTGATCTAATATTGCTTGATCTATTTCGCATTGACGTCCAGTATATTGAGAAGTACATATGCATTCAAAAGTATTATTCTTAATAATACAAGTACCACGGTTTAGACAAAGCGATGAATCACATAAGTTTGATGTCATTATTTGTTCACAATAACGCCCTGTCGTAAATGGAGGACATTGACATAGAAAATCACTATTTATAGGAAGACAAATACCACCATGTTGACAAAGTTCAAATTCACATGGATGTGCTTAAATTAAAAACAACAAATACTAATACATTAGAAGCAAATTCGATGTAAAATATTTTACTTGTATTCATAATTTCTTCTTTTATTTCACACATTGTACCAGTAAAACCTACTTTACAATCACATGTAAAACATCTAGAAGTATTGACCTCTCGACATTGACCACCATTAGCGCATATCACATATTGACACGTTCTGACTATCAAATATATAAATTTTATACTTTTTAAACAAGCAAAAATTGACATATCATACCTTCTGGATTAGAGCATTCACTATCTATTTGACGAGCAGTTAAAGAATCATATGCATTAGTGATTGTTGTTAATAGTACTACTATCAATAGAAATAACCATCGGTTCATATTGTCTTGAATATTTTCAAAAAACTTATTATAATTGTTCTGAATAGACACAAACGTATATATCTATAAGAATCATTCGAGGACACATGAGAAAGATTAGAAAGTCATTTTCTGTATCATGCACTTACTTTTTCTTTAAAATAATTATTTTCGATCAGTACGTATCACTTTCAAATAACCATTCTGACGATCTCAAATTTCTCTACTTGATCCATCCTATTTTCTTTTCTTTTATTCAATTACTATTAGACTACAGAATAGTAGAAGGCGTCACCAATAGAGAAAAAAAAAGCATTTTCTCAGCACTAAACAACGAATTAGTCAGGCTGAATTTCTAAGATTGTAGTTATTTCAAATACATTGCTTGTATTAGTAAAATTTAGTGAAATAAATGCATTCCTTCAATGTAATGGACGTGCAAAATCAATTATGTGTTTATTTGTAACATTTTATGAATTATTGTTATCTATGAAAGAATTTTTTTTATTTAATAAATTTGTCCAAAAAAGAAACAACAATAATTTCGACTTTTTGATAATCTGTCGTATCAGTATGATGGAATCATGGTAAGAAGTAGTTTAGAATCTTCCTGGAAATATATGACATTCATTAAATAATGATAAGCTTAAAATTAATTAATAATACTCTAAAAATTGCACAAAAAAATCATTTCTTTCTTCATATCTATATCATAGGACATTGCTCAATGTAAAAAGCAAGTCTTCAATTTATAGATAAATCCAGCCATTACTACACAATTCTTACAAAGTTGATGGTGCTCTGAATTAAAAGATCAGATAGAAAGAAAAAATCAAAAGAATAAATATTACTAGTTTCAAGAACAGTTGTAAATCAAATTTTGTAATTATATACTGTATATAAAATCTCGAAATATGATTTCGAATTACTAAATCAATCTACGATGCAATACATGAGATATTTTTCTTCCAGAAAAAAATTTCAAAATATTTTTTTCATAAAGTTTAAATAGATTTTATTAATACGAGACATAATTGATATATGTCTATTAGTTAAGCTTTTTTCTTTAGTTCACATTTCATAATTTTTGAATCAATAACAACCAATCATCCTGTAGTACCATCTGTGGGACGCATAACTCCATTCCACAAACAAGCATATGGTTTTTGAGCATTACCAGAGAAAATACAACGGCCAGGTGCACAGTTTAATGGACATTCTTTGAAGAAAAAAAAATAAAAGGAGAAATACTTAATGAATACATATAGTCACATAAAAATATTTCGTACCATCAGGAGTCATTGGTGTAGTTGAATCACAATTTTTACCAGTGTAGATACTCGTTGTCCCACAAAAACAGAAGTATGAAGTGCCAGTAGGAACGCAAGTTGCACCATTCTTACATGGATTTAAAGAACAGATATTATTGACTTGTGAAATATAGAATAAAAAAAAACTCAAAGATTATTCTTTCTTTAAAGTCTTCAGATGCAATATGATCTTACCTATTGAAACGGTCGTAGTTGTAGTAAGCGGAATATTTGTCGTTGTAGTTGTAGCCGTGACTATTTCATATGTAGTACATGTAGGTCCTGACCATGGTAACTCGCATACACATAGAAAACTATTACTCCCACTGAAACATGTTCCTCTGTTTTTGCATGGATTGGATGAGCAAAACTCTATTCATAATTGATTTTCAATTGTCACTTCAAATGAGAATGGTTGGCATACCTGGCACAACTGTGGTTGTAGTTGTTAAAGTACCTACGAAGAACTCGCATCGTTCACCTGTATACATTGCTGGACAAGTACAGTACGGAACATTTCCAATCATTCCACATGTACCACCCGAAAAACAGTATCCAATAGGACAATTTACTAAAAAACATCAAATTTCATTTATCCATGAAAAAGAAAAAATAAAGAATCAATCACGAAAAAAAGAAACATTTTTACCATCTATATTCACATCACAATATCTTCCTGTCCATCGATTTTCACAATTGCAATATGCAATAGGACCATGTGAAAGATTTATTCCGAAGCAAATACCATGTATTCCACATGGATTGGGATCACATGGATTATTAACTTTCAAAAAACAAGAAAAAGGATTGAACAATTAATTGATTCTATTCTCTACAATCAGAAAAAGTTGTTTATCGTCTACCTTTGATTTCACAATATGTTCCTGTAAAACCTGGACTACATTTACAAGAATTATCAATGCATACACCACCATTTTGACATCCTGGATTGCATCCAATAGCTAAAAT